TTTTTTATTTGTAAAATGCTTAATCCTGTTATATGCAAACTGAACTGCAGGTTGTAGAGACTAAAAGTTGTAACTTTAAATCCTATTTTGTTCTAACTTAAGTGTAAGTTGCAGAGACTTACATTTTTAAATAGTCATTCACACACACATTCACACACTGATTACTGGACAACCCGCTCTACCTCATGAGCTTCTGCTGTCCCAATTAAGCAATTTGAGGAGTGGCAAAGACCAGCCTAGATGGCCAGGAACCATCAAAACCAGCAGCAAAACAAAATTGGTGGGTGTTGAGCAATTTGAGGAGTGGAAATGTCTAGCCTGGATGGGAGTCATTAGAACCAGTAGCGAAACTAGATTGGTGTGTGTTAAGCAATTTGAGAAGGGGAAAACACATTTAAAATGTTGCAAAACCTCCTCAGAGTTACCCAACTCTAAGTTCAGATTCTCAGTCTTAGCTGACATGCAGTCAACAAACTCAACAACTGACCCAGCATTTAAAAATCTGGATCTAGTGAAAGGGATAGCTCTCACCGGGATGTAACATGCTAGAGACTAAGATCACAGAGGCCAGCTCCAGTGACCCTTGAGTCAAATTAAGAGTCCACCAAATTCAAAAATTCCCTAACCAACAGGTTGTCAGGACAACACACATGAATGTTAAGAAATAAAACATGATCATCCCCGTACTCTTGTACGTTGCTCTCCAGCATGAAGGTTTATTTATTGCTGAAGGGGACGAAGACTCTCAAAGGGCGAAGGGGGCGAAGACTCTGGAGGATTAAAAGCAAGAGAGCCCCCGATAAAAACAAAACAGGCCAGACAGGCCAGAGACTACAAAAACTGGACATTAGGTCAGTTGTTCCTAAATGGTCACAAGGGAACCTGTTGGATGTACAAGATGGCGCCGTCTGTTGTGGCTTGCCGTCTGGTTTACCGTTTGCCGTTTGTGCTTTTTGTACTTTTGTCTCTGTTTTTGAGTCTCCTAGTGGCTGATTCCTGTCCCACCCTTACCTATGACCAAGCTACTCTTCTGGATCTCTGGCAGAGGTTCGAGTCTCTCCAACTTCACTATGCCTCATTAAAGCAATCGTTTGGGAACCTGTTTGAGTTTGTTGGAGTTCCGCCCTTCCTCCTTTCCTCCGCCTGCGGCCTGGTGGGGCCGCGGTGGAAGCGGCGGCGGCGCGGCAGGCGTACTGGCGCTCATGTCCAGCTCCGAGCTTCCTGGATGTGCCAGTCCAGTGGCAACGTTTCTTCTTGGGTTTGGGTCTGGTTCCCTGATGATTCCTCGGAACACAACATCCAGATTCTCCACAGGCAGGACAGCGATCCTGTCAGCTGGGGATCCAAACGGAGGCGCCGTATTGGCGGGGTGAACTGGAGGAATCTTACCTATCCTGTGAGGTCCGGCGAAGAGTGTCCTCGCCCCTGTTTGTCCTCAACTTCGTCGTCTTCTCTCAGGATTGCTCTACTAAATGTTCGTTCGCTGGGGAATAAAACAGTGCTATTAAAAGGATTTTTTTATCGATTATGGATTAACTTTGTTCTGCATGACGGAGACGTGGGTCCCACCGGGTGAGTCAGCGACACTTGCTGAACTTTGTCCGTCAAATTGTTCTGTTGTGAATGAACCCAGACTGTTGGGTCGAGGTGGGGGCCTATTGACTATGCATTCATCCTCCCTCCCCCTCAAGCGCCTCCCGGGCTCAACCCCCCACCAGCTTCGAGGTCTCTGTTTTTGAACTCAGTCTCTCCCCTCCAATTCTTTTTATTCTGTGTTACCGACCACCAAAATATAACTCTGCTTTTATTACGGACTTTTCTGACCTTTTAGCTGAATATCTCCCCAGGTACGACCAAGGTATTATCCTTGGTGATTTTAATATTCACGTTTGTTGTCTGTTGAATCCTCTGGTGAGAGATTTCTCAGATGTTCTGGTTTCATTTGGCCTCCAGCAACTGGTCAATGTTTCTACTCACGATCACTCTCACACTGGATTTAGTTTTATTATTTGGACTGAAGGTGCAGGACTTGGTTGTTCACCCCGTCAGTTTCTCAGATCATTTTTCAGTCGTTTTTAACATCTCTGCCATGTTGCCTGTGGTGAGAAGGCAGGCTTCTCGCTACTCAAGGCACATCTCTCCCTCCACGACTGCCTCACTACTGTCCATTCTGGAGGTTGAATTATCCAATCCTTCCTCATCTGGGATCACCACGGATGTGGATGGGCTTTTAAATTCTTTTAATTTGACTTGTTCTGTCGCCCTGGACTCAGTTGCTCCGCTTAAACCTAAACAGAAGAAAACCACATCTGAACAATGAAACATGCAGCCTCAGGCGGCGTTGTAGGGCGCTGGAAAGAAGGTGGAAAAAGGACAAGTTACTAGTCTCACAGCAGTTTCTGATAGATGCCCTTGACCTGTATCAGAGAAGCGTTAAATCAGCCAGGAACAAATACTTTGCATGCATAATCTCTCAGCATCAGGGTGATCAGCATAAACTTTATAGCACTGTCAATTCCATCTTGTCAATAACTGAACCTGGTAATGTTGATCCCTCTGTGTCATTGTGTGCTGAGCTCCAGGCCTTCTTTCTTCACAAAGTCCGGGACATTAGGGTTAGTCTTGTGCAACCAGCTGGCTGTCCTGATGTACCACCAGAACCTCCCTCATTCTGTAACTTTACACCCATATCGCTTAGTGAATTGTCAGATCTGATTGGAAATATGAAACCAGCAGGTCCTCCTGAGGACCCTCTCCCCCCGAGGATGGTGGGTGATATCATCCCTATTTTGGGCCCCGCCATCTCAGACATTTTAACTCTAGCTTGGCTACTGGGGTGTTTCCTACTTCTTTTAAAAAGACGGTTGTGCAACCAATTTAAAAAAAAACCTGGTTTAGACAGCTCAAACCTTGCAAACTTTCGGCCAATCTCCAAATATCCGTTTTTGACTAAGGTCCTTGAAAAGATTGTCTATTCACAGATTACAGCACACATGAATAGCTTTTCTCTGGTTGATGTGTTCCAGTCTGGGTTTAGGCCACTTCACAGTACTGAATCAGCCCTTCTTCGCGTGACCAATGACATCCTGGTGGCTTCTGACTCTGGGTCTCCTGTTTTGCTCCTACTATTAGATCTTTCTGCAGCATTTGATACCGTTGACCACGATATTTTGCTGGATAGACCTGAGTCATGGGTAGGGCTTAGGGGTACCTCACTTCAGTGGTTCTGCTCATTCCTGTCAAACAAAGTTTTCAAGTTTCAGTTGGGTAATTGTTCCTCTACATTCCTTCCACTTCCATGGGGAGTCCCGCAGGGATCTGTGCTTGGGCCTCTCCTGTTTTCAATTTACATCCTCCCCCTGGGTTTCATCCTGAGGAAATATGGCCTGGGCTATCTTATTTATGCAGATGATTGCCAGATCTACCTGGCTTTGAACAAACCAGGCTCCCTCTCTCTTCTGGACCAATGTTTGGCTGAAGTGAGGGTTTGGCTTGCCAACAATTTCCTTAAGCTAAATGATTCTAAGTCTGAGGCACTCCTGATGACCCCTAACAAAATCACACATGTATCTTCTGATTTGGCCACTCTCCCATATGACCTCAAGCAGTGTGTTACCAACCTGGGGGTGAAACTGGATACACACTTTTCCATGGGCCCTCAGATTAACGCAGTGGTCAGATCGTGTTTTTATCAGCTGCGCAGACTAGTTAGCTTAAAACCGATCCTGAAACGAGCACACCTGGAATCTGTAATTCATGCTTTTATCATCTCCCGACTGGATTATGCAAATTCCATTTTAATTGGTTTACCTGCCTCCGCTCTTAACAGGCTTCAGGTCGTACAGAACGCGGCAGCCAGGTTTTTAACAAACACCCCTAGAAGAGACCATATCACACCTGTACTGGCGCAGCTCCACTGGCTACCCGTAAACTTCAGAGTCAAGTTTAAAATCCTGACTTTTGTTTTTAAGGCCCTGAACGGTCTGGCTCCAGATTACCTGTCGGATCTTGTGCCAAACCGGGCGTTGAGGTCTGTTGATTTCCTGCTGCTTCGCGTTCCATCAATGAAATACAAAACGCGGGGGTAGTGTGCTTTTGTCTATGCTGCTCCGACACTCTGGAATGCTCTTCCTCTTTCAGTGAGGCTGGCACCATCCCTTCTCCGGTTCAAGTCGCTGCTTAAGGCTCACTTTTACGACCAGGCATTTTTAAATTCCTGACTTTTATTATTTTATTATGTGTCTTTTTATTGACCGTGATTATCTGCCTTTTTGTGCATTTTATTGTTGACCATGTTTTGTTTTATATTGTGTTTTTACTTTTTATTCTGTACAGCACTTTGGTCGGCTGCCATGCCGTTTTTAAATGTGCTTTATAAATAAAGATGGTATGGTATGGAATCTGCATGCTTTTTATCTTTAAAAACATCCCTCTATCGCATTATTTAAACAAAATTAAAGTTTATCAAACAAATCTTTATGAGAAACCAACAATGCAATAACTTTTGTCCCTTTTTGTTTAAATTGGTTTCCACAGAAAACAAGAATGTTTGGATTTTGACAGTACAGAATAATACATTTTAAAAGGATTGCTTATCTAATTCTCTTTATCTCCCAATGTCCAATTAATCTAAATGAAAGTAGTTTTCATTTGAATGATTCTGATTCAATGTGCTGTTTGTCTATGTAGCTGCTCTGAGTAACCACTAGAGGGCAGACCGTAGCTATTTTTTTTCTGATATCCAATACAATGTTTGGTTTTATGGTCATCTTTCCCAATGTTTATCTGTTGATAAACCTTTTCTCCACATTGGCTTGGAGAAATTAGCTTTGAGTTACTAGATAATCTGAAAAAGTGCACCAGTGAGGGCTTTGTAATAGTCCAACTTTCATTTCACTTTGATTTCCTGAATAACAATTTAACCGCCATATTGTTGATAAGTATATTTCGGACATGGGAGATTGTTGTCGATTCATAAACCTGTTATTTTGTTTTATCAGATGCTGCAGCGTGTGATGATGGTGGCTGCAGAGAGTCTGAAGGTACTGGAATGTCAGCTGATGGATGGCAGCCAGATGCAAGACGTGAGGGTGTGTGTATATCTTTAAGTCGCTCATCACCACATTCTCCATAAATGTTAAATACACATAAGTCGTCATTAGCTGTCTCACAGGTTTTCTGCATGTTTCTACGTGTTTGTGTAGGTGGTCATGCGTCCTCCATTGGAAGCCTATGACGTGCTCATTCACCTGAACCCAAACCAGGTTCCCTTACTTGGTCAAGCTGTGGACCCTCCAGCTGTGACCTTTAACAGGGGCGTGGTGCCAAATGGCGCCCCCCAGTCTGGAGGGCCGCTGCCAGTCATTGACTACAACCCCGTGACCCTCTATCTGATGGAACTGAGAGTGAGTCATGTCTGGACAAGATCCAGGACCTTTTGTTTATTAGAAAGACTTTGTTCTAGACATTCCTAACTGACGCATGTTGTATGCATCTGGTACCTGATGGTAAGGATAAACTAGACATATCTGCTGATACACTTACAATTTGGCCTTTGTGCAATGCATTTCTTATTTATTTTACTGGTGTTTCTTAAAGTGGGCATACACGTGTTATTTCACTACAGTATGAATGAACGGCTGATTTGTTTTCTGTGGAATAAAGTTCTGGCGCTCATGTTTCAGAAGTTAGTCGGAGGAGTGTGGTCATATTTCATCATATTTAAAAACAACAAGTACCGTAAATCCTCTAATACAGGCCCGGGCCTGTATTTGACTCAAGCTCAACAAGCTCCAGGCCTTTATTGGAAGGAGGACTAGAATTAGAGGCAGGTCTCAATTTCTATTTGAGCAAAATGAACTAATGGTTCGCTGGAGTTTTTGACAATTAAAATTGCGCCCACATGTTCAAAGTTAAACACATTTCTTGTAACAACAGTAGTTTCTGCTTCAGCCCTCTCCCCCCTCCCCCCGCGCAGCGGCCACAAACTCACTGATGCGCCTGCAGCCTCTCGGAGTTCCTGCTGCTCTAAACATTAAAATAATTATTTCATTTTCTGTTCCTCACTTCTGATTACCTTCAATGCTGTCTGTTTGTTGCAACCACCAGGTACAAAAACTAACTTGTTTTTATTTGACTATTTTTCTGTCCTGCCTGTTTATTATCCTCCTGCATCTCCTCTCAATCCTAAAGAGAAACTGCTACCTGGGTTCATATATATTCACCTTATGAGTTACCTTTGAACTGCAGTTCTAAAAGATCTACCGACCGCAAAAACAGCGGAGTGCTCGCCGGCCACATCAGTTAGGTGCGTCACCGAGGACAAAACAGGTGATGCGCCCCGATCCACAGCAGCGAAAGGCATCAGGCACAAATAAAAGAAGAAAAGACAGAAAACATAAAATGAAATGAGCCGACATGAATGATTGCGTGTTAAATTAGTTTTTGAGGTGGCGACACCTGATTTGATAATGTTACTGTGGCCGTGCTCAGGACGCAGGTGTCTGGAGCGCGTCAACAATCAGAGCTTTGCATGCGCAAGCTGGTTAAGGTTAGGATGGGGGTGAGGGGAATGTTAAATTGCAAGAGGGTAAAGGTCACAATTTGGTTAAATGTCCATTTTACGGCGGGTGTCAGTACCGATGCTCCGGCACAGCGCGTTGCCTCCCGACGCGAAGGAGCTTGTCACCTGCTGACAGCAGGCTGCTGTCTTTTCCGTGGACTGCATCTTGCCGGTCATTATCATGTGACAGCGACTAGTCGATGACAGGCATAACAAGTCACTATAGAGCGGTGAAGTCGACTGGTGACTAGTTCATACAACCCCTGCTACTGCGCCCCAGAGTGTTCTGCAGCATAATCAGCAATGTTCTCTTTGAACTTGATATCAAATTTTCGCCTCCTCTTCGTCTCCGCACGGTTAGTTACCCTCGCGGTCTGTCACTGGCAAATCAAAAGTGAGACGGATGACACAACCACCCGGCCACAATTAAAAAACAGCCATTATTCACCTCCGCCGACTCCGACACCAGCCAAAATATGATACCCGGCAGTTAATTAATTACAGGCTAATATTAGAGGATTTACGGTATTAGAATTTTCTGGGTGAACCTCTGCTTTAATCAAATTCATTTTTGCAGGAGGCGTTTGGAGACCTAGCGCTCTTTTTCTGTGATCCTTATGGCGGAACTGTGATCTCAGTTCTATGGAAACCGAAGACTTTTGTTTCTGCACCATTTAAGGTAAATCACTGATGATCACATCATATTTGTCGTGTCATCGCTCGTCACTCCTTTGTTTTTGAATCCCCATCAGACATCCCAGATAACTGCTCGGACCGTGGAGGTGATGGGGGAGGAAGTGAAAACCATTCCAAACTTTGGAGCCATACTGGAGGACTTTAGAGTTCTAGGAAAGGGTTTGGTCAAGTCAGTAGAAGCCAAAACTGAGAAATGGGCATTTTAGGTACTTCTATACAAACTGCCGCCAGACCTGTTGACTCAGATGTTTCAGTGGAGAGGAAGCTTTGATTCTGTGGTTTAAATGCAACCCACTGACACATGTATGACCTTTCAGCTGTAAAATACCAGCCCTTGCTTGTTTTGAAGAGTCTGTAACTTGTCTTAATAAATGTGCATCCTTTGGATTTAAACCAGATTCCTGTCATATTTTCAGTCTGTGAAGGGGTCTCTGAATTAACTCAGCCTGGAAGATGGCCATGCATCATATGTATGATAAACATGAGCACAAACCAATTTGTTTACAGTAAAACTAAAAAGATTTATGAGTTATTCACAACCATATTTGAACAATTTTGTCAATAATGCGAGGATACTATCTTGTTTTTTTTTTCTAAAATGCACCAAATGTTAATCCCAGTTGATCTCATCGGGCAGATAAAACATACAGCCTTAGCGTGTCATCCTAAGATTGTACATTTGTTATTGATTTCATCAGATGATTTATGAAAACAAAGATTAAAAATAAACATGTGCAGCCATGACGACCGTGAGCATAAATACAGAACGTTAATCATTCCTTTTGAAACTTGTTATTAAAAGTCAACAAACTGGATTATGAGGTTTTCTGTTTATCGTTGGGACTGGTTATTGTAGTCATGTAGATTATTCTGAAACGAACTGCAGGTGGATGGTTTATCAAGTCGAGGCATGACTCTTCCTGTAGCAGTTCAGACACTTGTTCCGAGTTCTTGGAAAGGCTTGTCTCCGAGCTTCCCATTTCTAAGAAACTGTCGACAGGTACTGCCCCGAAGGCACTAATACTGTTTGAATATTTTTAATCCTGACACAAATGTAAAGTCGTAAAATGTATTTGAAAGCTAAGAATATATACAGGTTTGAGTTTTGCATTTCTTTGAACTGGGACAGGTTTGAATTGGATCAGCTCTGAACCGATGGCCGTGCATCCTCTTACCTGCTGTGCAAAGGAAATAAAATAAAAATCAGATTTAAGTTTTAAAACAGCAGGTTCAGTGAAGATTTCCTAAAGAAACAAAAACAGATCTTAAAAGTCCAATAAAAGCAGGTTTTAAGACGGGAACTGAAGCGGGCCGGTGATTAAATGGACCTCATCGTCTCAGAGCCTCAGGGTCCAGACTTCACACTCTCCTCCCTTCAGCTGGACCCCTAAAACACACCAAACCATCACTGGAGACACAATTACGAGGTAGGCAGGAACACTTTTACTAAATCAAAACTGAAAGTGCCACAGAAAGCCCTGAGAACAACCGTATAAATTCTAAAATTTATTTGGAACCAGAGCAAAGAAACTAAAATAAAACTAACATGTCTTGCCTCTGGATTAAGAAAACGTTCTGCACCACCTGGAGTTCATTAACGTGTTTTGATTCAGGCAGGCAAAAGGTTGCCACAGCTCTCGAGGCGTGGTGAGACAAAAGCATGTGAAACTTTAGGACCCTTAACATGTTTTTTTTTCTTCTAGAGATCTACCTTTGAAGGGAGTTCCATTACACACCTCAGTAATTATACGTGCATCTTTCAAAATTCCTCAAGACTAAACAGCTAAAGTAGAATCCCATTTAAAATATGCCAACACATGCATCAAAAGTGAAGTGATATACCCATCATGCCTAGTGCCTACTGTACAAGCCTGTGGGGGCGGTGCTATGATCTGGGGTTGCTGCAGTTGGTCAGGTCTAGGTTCAGCAACAGGATGTGCTCCAAGAATTAAGTCAGCTGACTTCCTAAATGTACTGAATGACCAGGTTATTCCATCAATGGCTGTTTTCTACCCATATGACATGGGCATATTCTCAGATGACAATTCTGGGTTTCTTCACCCTCAGATAGTGAAAGAGTGGTTCAGGGAGCATGAGATATAATTTTTACTCATGGATTTGCCGCCACAGAATCCAGACCTTGACCCCAGTAAGAATCTTTGGGATGTGCTGGAGAAGGCTCTGTGTAGTGGTCAGACTACCATCATCAATGCAAGATCTTGGTGCAACATTAATGCAACACTGGATGGAGATACATTTTGTGACATTGCAGAGCCATATCGAAACAATGCCACAGCGAATGTGTGCTGTAATCAAACCTAAAGGTAGCGATGACATGTTAGAGTGTGTGACCTTTTTTTAGGCTGGGCAGTGTATACATTCATCCATCCATTCTCTTCAGCTTATCTTTGGTCAGGTTGTAAGGACAGTAGCCTAAGCAGAGAGGCACAGACTTCCCTTTCCCCAGCACCTTTGGGGGAATCCCAAGGTGTTCCCTGACCATCCAAGAAGTCCCTCCAACGTGTTCTGGGTCTTCTTTTAGGTCTCCTCCTGGTTGGACATGACCAGAAAACCTCACCTGGCATCCAGGAGACATCCTAACTAGATGCCTGAGCCACCTCAACTGGCTCCTCTCGATGTGGAGGAGCAGTGGATCTACTCCAAGCCCCTCCAGGATGGCCAAACTTCTCATCCTAACTCCTGGGAGAGCCCAGACACCCTGCAGCAAAAAACGTATTTTGACCTCTTGTATCCACAATCTCATTCTTTTTGTCACTACCCCAAGCTCGTGACCATACGTGAGGGTAGGAACGTAGATCGAGCGGTAAACTCAGAGCTTTGCTTTCGGCTCAGCTCTCTCTACACCACAACAGATCGGTACAACACCCTAATCACTGCAGATGCAGCACCATTCTGCCTGTTAATCTCCCGATCCATCTTTCCCTCACCCGTGAACAAGAACCTGAGATACTTAAACTCCTCCCCTTGGGGCAGGATCTCGTCCCTGACCATTCTACCCTTTTCTGATTCAAGACCATGGTCTTGGATTTAGAGGAGCGGATTGTTATCCCAGCCTCGGCTTCAAACCTCTCCAGCAATCACGTTCTGATGAAGCCAACAAGACCACATCATCTGCAAAAAGCCAGCAAAGAGACCTGATCCTTAGGTTACCGAAACAGATACCTACATTAGCCATGTATATTTTGTGGAGATTACAAAAACAAATAAAGTGGTCCTCTTGCATTTGTCTGAAAACATCTGCCAATAACCTGTTTCGACCAAAAGCAACTACTGAAGCAACCGGTTGTTGGTCTTTCCAAACCACCACACTTCCCTGGGTCCTCCATTCATTATGTACTTGCACATTTTGCGATATAACACCTCTGGTGTGAGAAGTTCTCCGCTATCACAGGTGAAACAGCTGGCTGCTACCATTTCAACTTTAGGACAAACTACCAGAGTCCCAAAAAGTAAACCCCCACCTGAAGTCACGGACAACAAAGACAAATAACAACTGGTGTTTAGCGCTATCTCGTTTCCTCTGGCAATATGGGTTTCCGGAATCCATGGGAAGATGCCTGAGAGAAACCCGAGAGTGTTCCATAATAGTGTTTTTTTTATATGAGTAGACAGGAAAAAAAGGCTCTCCCTTAGAGATAGGGTGAGAAGCTCGGTCATCCGGGAGGGGCTCGAAGTAGACCCGCTGCTCCTCCACATCGAGAGGAGCCAGTTGAGGTGGCTCGGGAATCTGGTCAGGATGCCTCCCTGGTGAGGTGTTCTGGGCACGTCCAACCGGGAGGAGACCTAAAGGTAGACCCAGGACACGTTGGAGGGACTATGTCTCTCACCTGACCAGGGAACGCTTTGGGATTTCCCCGGAGGAGCTGGCCCAAGTGGCTGGGGAGAGGGAAGTCTGGGCCTCTCGACTTAGGCTACTGCCCCTGCAACCCGACTCCGGATAAGCGGATGAAAATGGATGGATGGATGGATGGATGAGTAGACAGATTGAATGTAAAGTACCCAGATCATCAGCGCTACAATGTTCGATCCGTCCTTTTTTACAGCAGATTTTTCAGTTTCTTCAGTAACGACAGGTCAAGATTTTTGATTTTACCTTCACATGTTTTGACAGCGATGAATATCACTCATCCCAGATTATCATCACTGTTTCTGTTTGGGTACAAAGTTGGATGTAAAACGTAGCTTATGGTAGAACCTATGTCAGGGTAATTCAAATGCAAAGAGAGAGCTCAGACTGAACACAGTTTGTGTGAGCAATGCTGTTTTTACTTTATTTATGAAACCTAGTAGCATTTTACCATCCTTATTAAAACGTGAGGATGTTTAGGAGCTTGCCCAACCAAATGTGTGTTTTGTACACTCAGAGACGGCTAAAACCTGTTTTCCCTCCCTGGTGGTGTCCGGTGGGATGTGTTTCAGAAGTGTTGGATATCAGGTACTTCGCAACAGGCCATTAGGTCCCCATACATCCGGAGTGAGACCTTGTTGAAGGGAGTAACTGAGACATGTTTCAGATTAGAGTGGATCAGCTCCAGGGCTCCCATTTGTTAACAAACCCGGTAGGAACAGAGTCCTAAACACAGCAAGAGCCTCGGCAAGCGGAAAACTTCGGCTTGCACTGGGATGATTTCCAGCTAGGATGAGACTCTAATCTTTGAGTGTATTTGAGATGCATGTTGTTCCCTTGCTGCTTCAAGTCAAGGATTTTCACTAATCTGAGGATGCAGAAATGTTGAAGATTGGCAAACTGATTACGGCATCACTAAAGACCAAAACAATAACAACGCAAATTATAAAACTCAAATTAGCTTCCTCAAAAGTGTCCAGGTTTACCCTTGGGGATCGGATGTGGAATTCAATCACCCAAAAGCGTTCAGTCGAGTCACTGCTCCTGCTAACAGAAAGGAACTTTATAAGGTAGTTTGACAATGAAATCTGGATTGCTTCAATGGGAGATCTGTTTTTCGAAAAAGTCACATTAAGGCACCTTAGCGGAGCCCCAGGACATGTTAAGAGAGTAAGTGTCCCTCAGCTGACTTGAAAATGCCTTAATTCTATTTTTTGTTTTTACTTATTTAACCTTTATTTATCCAGAACTCTGCAGGAGGGGTTCTTTTTGGAAAAGGAGCTCGAAAACAAAAGAGAAGGAATGGATAAAAGGACAGAAGGAACGAGGCAGCGATCAGAGGGATCAGCAGTGCCCCTGTGATTACCGAGCTCATAAATCAAGTCATATTTCAGTTTTTCATGACCACAATATTTACATTGTTGAATTTATAGGCTGTTTGTGCACTGCAGTGGAAATAGTGCAGATTTGAACTGTGTCCTGTGTTGACTAAGGAGATCCCATAACAGAGACTTTTAAGTCTCAC